GGCAGTGTTCTCCCCACCCCCTATACTTACAAAGCCATTGAATAGAATCATTTGTGGTGGGAAAACCGATCTCTGAGACACTTCTCCATTGTGGCTGTGGTAAGCCTCGGCTTATCAACGTGGACTGTATGGGCAAAGGTGTTTTTTAAAAATGACTCCTAGTAGTTCATGTCTTCTAATAACCTGGAAACATTCTGTCTGATCTATGGCACGCCACATCTCAGGTGGTTGGGCGCCTGCACACGAACATGCACCGACGCGTTCATAGGACGATACTCTGAGGCAGTTCCAACTTCCTGGGTGGGCCAGGACTCTTTCTCACTCTCTGCTGTGGCCTAGGGGCAACCATTCAAATGCAGACCAATTATTCATTAAAAACAATCGTCCTAAACATAAATAACATTAAAACATTAAAAAGCATTGACACATCGATAAAAACCATGACAGTAGTAAAAGCAATCGTTTCGTCTCCTAGATAAAAAAAAATCCAATCTCATAGTCCAATTGTTCCATAATCCTATGTCTAATTATTACACTGTTTTTTCAAATGCCTGCTCGAATAGCCAGGTTTTGACTTTTTTCAGAAAGTCAGAAGGGAGGGGGCCGATCTAATGTCCCTAGGAAGGGCGTTCCATAGCTGAGGGGCCACCACTGAGAAGGCACTGTCTCTCGTCCCTGCCAAACGTATTTGTGATGCAGATGGGGTCAAGAGCAGGGCCTCTCCAGATGATCTTAATGTCCTAAATGGTTCATAAGGAAAGATGCGTTCGGACAGGTAAGTTGGGCCAGAACCATTTAGGGCTCTATAGGCTAAAACCAGCACTTTGAATTGTGCCCGGTAGCAAACTGGCAGCCAATGGAGCTGGCGCAGTGGAGGTGTTGTATGCTCCCTGTGCGCCGCTCCCGTTAGTAATCTGACTGCCATCCATTGGACCAGTTGAAGCTTCCGAACAGTCTTCAAAGGCAACCCCACGTAGAGAGCGTTGCAGTAGTCTATACAGGATGTAACCAGAGCATGGACTACCGTGGCCAAGTCAGACTTCCCAAATATATTTCAATGCTCATTATGAAATTAGGGTGTGGGGGAAAGTTGTTTCTAAAGCAGGCATAGGCAAACTTTGGCTGTCTGGCTGTTTTGGACTCCAACTCCCACAATTCCTTACAGCCGATACGACTTACTAATTGGAAATGAAATTTTGCACAACCGTAATGGCTAAGGAGAGGGTTAAAAGATACACAAGGGCTGTTGTTTGGTTGTTATGGTGAACTCTTAAGGTAAAGGTAAATGTTTTCCCCTGACATTAAGTTCAGTTGTGTCTGACTCTGGGGGTTGATGCTCATCTCCATTTCTAAGCTGAAGAGCTGGCGTTGTCCGTAGACACCTCCAAGGTCATGTGGCCAGCATGACTGCAAGGAGCACCATTCCTTCCCGCAGAGGTGGTACCTATTGATCTACCCACATTTGCATGTTTTCGACCTGCTAGGTTGGCAGAAGCTAGGCCTAACATCAGGAGCTCAGCCTGCTCCCCGGATTTGAACCGTCAACCTTCGATCAGCAAGTTCAACAGCTCAGCTCTAAGACTCACTAAATATAAGGTTGTAAGTCTCAGCTATAAACGCACTATAAGAATAGTGTAATTTAAGAGAATCCTCTACTTAGCTGCAAAGTACAGTTGGGAAAAGCCAAATCTTGGTGCTCATCTCCATTTCTAAGTTGAAGAGCCAGCATTGTCCATAGACACCTCCAGGGTCATGTGGCCGGCATGCCTGCATGGCATGCCATTATCTTCCTGCCGGAGCTTTTTATCTATTATTTATTATTATTTACATAATTTTTATTCTGCCCATTTCAGCCTGAAGGCGACTCAGGGCGGGTTATAGGTTGGCAACAATTAGATGCCATACATAAATACATACATCGGTTAAAAGCAATTAAATCACATCATAATACATATAAAAACCATAAAAGCAACAATAAAAACTGGAGAACAGGCCCTATGAGGAGCGGCTTAAGGAGCTGGGCATGTTTAGCCTGAAGAAGAGAAGGCTGAGAGGAGACATGATAGCCATGTATAAATATGTGAGAGGAAGCCACAGGGAGGAGGAGGGAGCAAGCTTATTTACTGCTTCCTTGGAGACTAGGACACGAAACAATGGCTTCAAACTACAAGAGAGGAGATTCCATCTGAACATGAGGAAGAACTTCCTGACTGTGAGAGCCATTCGGCAGTGGAACTCTCTGCCCCGGAGTGTGGTGGAGGCTCCTTCTTTGGATGGCCATCTGTCAGGGGTGATTTGAATGCAATATTCCTGCTTCTTGGCAGGGGGTTGGACTGGATGGCCCATGAGGTCTCTTCCAACTCTTTGATTCTATGATTCTAAAACTATGTCTTCCAGTTCAATTGGTCATCCGTTTACATCGTCTTTGTCGTTCCTTGTTCATATTCCAATTTGATTATCTGGTCATGCTGAAGTTCCAAACACTTGCTTAAAGAGCCAGGTTTTCACTCTTTTCTGAAAGGTCAGGAAGGAGGGGACCGATCTAATATCCATAGGCAGGGAGTTCCACAGCCAAGGGGCCACTACAGAGAAGGCCCTGTCTCTTGTGCCCCACAGATGTGCCTGTGAGGCAGGCGGGATCAAGAACAGGGATCGAGAGCATTACCTATTGATCTACTCCACAGCTCTGCTCTCGATCCCACCAGCATCGCAGGCGTGCTTGGTGGGGACAAGGGAGAGGGCCTTTTCGGTAGTGACCCCTCGACTCTGGAATTCACTCCCTAAAGACATCAGACAGGCCCCAACCTTGGCAGTCTTCAGGAGGAGCTTGAAGACGTGGTTGTTCCAGTGTGCCTTCCCGGAATAATGAATCCCATAGCACTTTGTCCTCCAAAGCACTTTACATTTCCCTGAGTCTGCTTGTATGCCCTCCACAAACACTAGTATCACCTTTCGCTTATGGCCCAGCATTATTTCCAATTTTAACTCTACATTTGGCCTTCCCACTGTTTTAATTATGTGTTGCTTCTTTAATAATGTTGTGTATTTATTGTCTATGTTTTTTAATTGCTTGTATCGATGTTTTATTGCTTTTGTTGTTGTGTTGGGCTCGGACTCATGTAAGCCACACCGAGTCCCTTGGAGAGATGGTAGTGGGGTACCAATAATAATAATAATAATAATAATAATAATAATAATAATAATACTCATATTTGCATGCTTTCAAACTGCTAGGTTGGCAGAAGCTGGGGCTAACAGCAGGAGCTCATGCCGCTCCTCGGATTCAAACTGGATAATTTTTAAATGTGTCTGTTTATTTATTGGTGTGTGTGTGTGTGTGTGTGTGTGTGTGTGTATATATATATATATATATATATATATATATATATATATATATTAGGCTTGGGTGATCAAGAAAAAAAATGTTTCTAAACTTGTTTCGGATGTAGGGGGCGCTGGCGATTCGATTTTGAAATAATTTCTGAAATTTTCTTGAAAAAAAGATCGGAAATATCAGAAATCCAAATTGCTTCGTTAATGGAAGGGAAGGTGCCCCTCCCTCCCTCCCTCCCTCCCTCCCTCCCTCCCTCCCTCCCTCCCTCCAGAACCATTAAGTAACTTTGACAAAGTCAGAAAGCCTAAACAAACAGTTTTAAAATCTTGCAGTTTCCCTTCCCTGGCAGTGATGAAGAGGGATGAGCTGGAATGTGTCCAGAGGAAGGTGACTAAAATGATCAAGGGTCTGGAGAACAAGCCCTATGAGGAGCGGCTTAAGGAGCTGGGCATGTTTAGCCTGAAGAAGAGAAGGCTGAGAGGAGACATGATAGCCATGTATAAATATGTGAGAGGAAGCCACAGGGAGGAGGGAGCAAGCTTGTTTTCTGCTTCCTTGGAGACTAGGACGCGGAACAATGGCTTCAAACTACAAGAGAAAAGATTCCATCTGAACATGAGGAAGAACTTCCTGACTGTGAGAGCCGTTCAGCAGTGGAACTCTCTGCCCCGGAGTGTGGTGGAGGCTCCTTCTTTGGAAGCTTTTAAACAGAGGCTGGATGGCCATCTGTCAGGGGTGATTTGAATACAACATTCCTGCTTCTTGGCAGCGGGTTGGACTGGATGGCCCATGAGGTCGCTTCCAATTCTATGATTCTATGATTCTATGATTCTATGATTCTATGATTCTATGATTCTATGATTCTATGATTCTATGAGGTGGGCGTGGCTAAGTACTGACAGCTCTTCCTGAAGGTCACTGGGGGCGTGGCCTTCAGGAAGAGCTATTCTTAGCCACGCCCAACTCGTCCCTCTTCAGCGCCATTCACCACTAACAGGGAAGGGAAACTGCGAGATTTTAAAACGTGGCCTTCAAGAATGGAAACCGCGAGGCTTTGCCAAAGTTGCTTAATTGTTCTAAAAATCAAAATAACTGTGGGAGACATCCGAAAATAATTCCGAACAATGGGTAAGTGGTTTAAATTCAGAATTACTCCTCCCACTATTCCTGTATGGCTCGAAATTGGTTCAAAAGGTAATTTTCCCCCATAATAATTCCGATTTAAGAATATAACAACTGTACTTACCTATGCCTAATATATATTAATGGAATGTGAGAAGTCTGTTCTAAAGCATCTGGAAGGACAATGGTTCCTGCAGTTTGTTAGACTTGGTGTGTTTTTAGATTTTAATAACTAGTACAAGCAAAACTGCTTAGTTTGGAGGAAGTCAGCAAAGCCATCAGCCAACTAAAAAACAACAAAGCCAGTGGACCTGATGGGATCCCTGCTGAAATCTTTAAAGAGAGTGGACTTGAGCTGACACAACAACTATATATATGTCTAAGGTGAACTCTTAGATTAATAAAAATATACTGGGGAAAAAGATACAGAAGGTTAGCAAAAGAAGTGGAAAACTACGTCAATGCCCTCTGCTCAAACATTTCCTAAAGATGCATCCAGAAGGGGAAAAGTCTGGAAATTAGAACATAGACTGTTTCTTTGCAGGTGTTGTCAAATCCACGACGACTGCTACGGTGCTGCCAGCGACATCCCAAATTGCTACACATGGCTTCACAACCCCTATATCGAGATGTATTCCTACACCTGCTCCGAGACCAACGTCACCTGTGCAAGTAAGAAAGTCAGTTGAGTCCTCCGCCGTCTTCCTTTGAGAGCTCCAAATATCTGCTATCTTGGTTGAAGCCATAGGGCCTATAGGCAGCTCAGCTTCCACGTGTACCATTAAATGCCGTGGTTGGGAAAGATGAGGCTTGCCAGCTATTTTAAACTACAACTCCCATAGTCTTTACCATTGTTCATAATGTCCTAGGTTTTGTTCATAATGTCCTAGGAATGATTGGACGATGCGACTGAATAATGATTTTAGTAATGAGACGCTGAGGACTAGTGTCTTTATTGTTTTTACTAGCCGTCCCCTGCCACGCATTGCTGTGGCCCACATGGGGGATCTGTGTGGGAGGTTTGGCCGAATTCTATCATTGGTGGAGTTCAGAATGCTCTGTGATTGTAGGTGAACTATAAATCCCAGCAACTACAACTCACAAACGTCACGATTTTATTTTCCCTAAACCCCACTAGTATTCACATTTGGGCATATTGAGTATTCATGTAGAGTTTGGTCCAGATCCATCATTGTTTGAGTCCACAGTGATCTCTGGATGTAGGTGAACTACAACTCCAAAACCAAAGGACACTGCCCACCAAACCCTTCCAGTATTTTCTGTTGGTCATGGGAGAACTGTGTGCCAAGTTTGGTTCAATTCCATCGTTGGTGGGGTCAGAATGCTCTGTGATTGTAGGTGAACTATAAATCCCAGCAACTACAACTCCCAAACGTCAAGATTCTATTTCCCCCAAACTCCACCAGTGTTCACATTTGGGCATATTGAGTATTTGTGTCAAGTTTGGTCCAGATCCATCATTGTTTGAGTCTACAGTGCTCTCTGGATGTAGGTGAACTACAACTCCCAAACTCAAGGTCAATGCCCACCAAACCCTTCCAGTATTTTCTGTTCGTCATGGGAGTTCTGTGTGCCAAGTTTGGTTCAATTCCATCGTTGGTGGGGTTCAGAATGCTCTTTGATTGTAGGTGAACTATAAATCCCAGCAACTACAACTCCCAAATGTCAAAATCTTTTTTTTTTTTGAATGAAGGACATACATTGGGTTGTTAGGTGTCTTGTGTTCAAATTTGCATAGAGGTAGCCTGCCCTTTGTTGCCTGGAGGAATGTGCAAGGTGGGAGAATGAAACCTTGGCTGTTTAAAGCAAGTGTGAGTGTTGCAATTTGTAAGCCTGAATTAGCATTTGAGCAGCCATGAAGTTTGCAAAGTCAATCGGTAAGGGTATCTGCATAGAGGTAGCCTGCCCTTTGTTGCCTGGAGGCATCCTCTGTTTGAAAGGTGTTAACTGGCCTTTGATTGCTTGTTGTCTGGAGTATTATTACATGTCATTACATGCACATTACATACACAGTGTCATTAAAAGGTAAAGGTTTCCCCTTGACATTAAGTCTAGTCCAGTGGTTCTCAACCTTCCTAATGCCGCGACCCCTTAATACAGCGCCTCACGTTGTGGTGACCCCCAACCATAAAATTATTATTATTGCTACTTCCTAATTGTAATTGTGTTACTGTTATGAATCATAATGTAAATATCTGAAATGCAGGATGTATTTTCATTCACTGGACCAAATTTGGCACAAATACCCAACAACAGCGCTCCATGCGTCATGTCAGCCACATGACCTTGGAGGTGTCTATGGACAACACCGGCTCTTTGGCCTAGAAATTGAGCACCAACTCCCAGAGTTGGACACGACTGGACTTAATGTCAAGGGAAAATTTGACCTTACCTTACCCAACATGCCCAAATTTGAACACTGGTGGGGTTGGAGGGAGAATTGATTATGTCATTTGGGAGTTGTAGTTGCTGGGATTTATAGTTCACCTACAATCAAAGAGCATTTTGAACTCCACCAGTAATGGAATTGGACCAAACTTGGCACACAGAACTTCCACGACCAACGAAAAATACTGGAAGGGTTTGGTGAGGACTGACCTTGAGTTTTGGAGTTGTAGTTCACCTGCATCCAGAGAGCATTGCAGACTCAAACAATGATGGATCTGGACCAAACTTGGCACGGATACTCAATATGCCCCAATGTGAACACTGGTGGAGTTTTGGGAAAACAGACCTTGGCATTTGGGAGCTACAGGGAAGTATAGCTCCCCTGCCATCAAAGAGCTCGGAAGGGTGCGCGGGGGGCGGGCAGAAAGGCTGCGCTTATGGCAAGGCAGTGAGCGCAGCCCTCCGCCTCGCTCTTGTGCCCTTCCAAACTTGGAAAGGTGCGGGGGGCGGGCAGCCCTCCCTTGCCCAAATGGCAAGGGTTGGCAGTCATTTTGGTGGGGGCGGGACCAACCAAGGAAGCTTTGCGACCCCCCCGAAAATAGCCCAACGACCTCCCTGGGGGTCGTGAACCCCAGGTTGAGAACCACTGGTCTAGTCGTTTCCAACTCTGGGGGGTGGTGCTCATCTCCATAAGCTGAAGAGCCAGCATTATCTGTAGATACCTCCAAGGTCATGTGGCCAGCATGACTTCCTGCAGATCTATGCACATTTGTATGTTTTTGAACTGCTAGGTTGGCAGAAGCTGGGGTTAACAGTGGGAACTCACTCCGCTCCCTGGATTCAAACTGCCAACCTTTTTGGTCAGCAAGTTCAGCAGCTCAGCAGTTTAACTCACTGCACCACCAGTGGGCCCACACAGTGATTGAAAATGCTCTCTTCCTAAATGTCTGAATAAATGGAATATGGTGACCCACCAAGCCTTAACAATTGCCTATCTATTGCCTAATGGTAGGGCTGACTCTGCCATCTGCTAATTCAGTTGAGTTAATTATTATTTCTGTTATTCACTCCATTTTTTGGGTCAGCAAGGCTTTCTGCCTTCGCTAAGGTCCATCTGTTTCGCTCTCTTTCCGCGCATTCCCCCATTCCATGACATCACTGGGACACGATTTTTTCAAAACACAACCCCATATTTTGTTTACAAGGCACCGACTCTGACGCAATGCTTTCCAGATGCCATTTCCAATTGCCGGTGGGTGGCTTGATCTGCCAGTGGAAACTGCTTCTCCCGTTGGAAAAGATCAGTCGCTGCTGCCGGCGAGAGGAAGCGCATCAAGGGCTAGGAGCCCACATTTCTGAGATGCCCCTTCTGCATCACAGCAAAAGCAATGGGGACTGAGTGGCCACATCAATTGCTGGCGCTTCTTGCCACAAGACAAATCTGGCTTCGTATTCCTTTCCATTCCAACACAACAGTATCAAGGAGAGCACAAAACGCAAGTTCTGAAAGAGATGAAATGGAAACAGATTGTGCGCATGTAACATGAGATATTAATAGGATAATGGGCTGGCAAAATTTTGTTTTGTTCAGCCATTTCAGAAACTGTTTTTCTACCCTTTGGATAGCTTTGACGTGTTTCTAATATGTAGCTTTGTGCTGGTACGGCTGTACCAGGAGCTCCAACTTCCTTTTCTTTCTTTGAATGTTTGCATGTATTCCAAAGTTCCATGCATTTTGCAATAAGGTGGCTTCCCTTGGTTTGCAGTCATGGTGTGCTGGTACGGCTGTACCAGGAGCTCCAACTTTATTTTCTTTCTGTTATCTGTTTTGCAGTCATAGGGCAGGCCTCCTGTCCATCATAATTAAGCTTTGGTTCCACCCCTTGTTCTGGGCTCTGGGAGGGATAGGAGCCATTTTTTGGGCAGTCTCACACAAGGTAGCTAAGCTATAGGACGTACACCAGCTCGTCCCGTAGAAAAGCTTCCTTTCTCAGTGACCATCCAGGGAAACTGAAGTCCAGGAAATTCCAGTAACATCCGGGGATATAGAAACAGAAATTCCAAGGGAAAGGCCCCAAAAGCTCTGGCTGAGAGCTCATAGCCTCTCAGCCTTACAACATCAGAGGGAAAACAGCCCTGCAGTTTCTAAGAATTCTCGAAGGGAGAACAGCTTTACAGATCCACAGAACTCCAGCTGAAATATCTGAAGGCCTTGGCTGGTAGGTCTACTCGATGCCCAGACACATTTGGGGTCGGTAGTGGGTCCCACATCAGTGAGGCCTGGGTAGTGGACAGCCTAGGAGAGGTTAAAAAGGGTTTTTCTTACAGAGAAAGTACAGTTAATCAAAGTCAGGTACCAGTCCATTGAGGACTAGACTAAGAAAGCCTTGAAGTGTTGTTCGAACCTTTGAAGATTTGTTGTTTGTTCCATAATAAAGACTTTGTTGTATCATTAAAGACTCTAAAGACCATCACTTCAGAAAAATCCCTGAGAACCTCTCTTTGAGGCGCCCCTGGCTTCCCGCTGGGCTTAAAGTGTACGTCCTATAGAAAAGTACAGTTGTTACAGGCCCAGCGCGTGACAGAACACATGGGGTTAGCCACCTGCCTATCATCATTGGGTTTTTTTTAGTTCCACCCCTTTCTCCAGGGTTCAGGAAGGAAAGGGAGCCATTTTAGCTCAGTCTTATAGTTGAAAGCTTAGCTACAGGACGTGAATCAGCTCCACCTGTAGAGAAGCTTCGTTTCTTACAAAATTCTGGGGGGAAACAGTCTGGGGAATTTACAGCCTCACAGCTTTAAGGAAAAGCCTTTAAAAGAAACAGTTTCACAACACAACCCTTGTTGGGGTTAAATAAACAAACCCACAACATTCGTGGAGAAAATCCAAAGGGCTCCAGCTGGAGAATCTACAAAGCCTTGGCTGGTAGGTCTACTCAGGACCCAAGAAGCAGTTTGGAGCTGGGAGTAGGGCCCACACCAGCAAAGTTTAGAAAGTAGATTGCCCAAGGAGGGGTTAAAAAGGGGTTTCCTCTTAAAGAAAAGAAACAGTTCACAAAACCAGTTGCCTGTCCCTTGTGGACAAGATTAAGAAAGCCGCCAGTTGATTCAAAGCCTTGAATTATTTGTTTGACTTGCTGAAGATCTGAGAAGTATTTGATTGTTTTGTTGAAGACCTGAGCAATAATAAAGGATCTTGTTAAACTTTTCAAGCTTCTAAAGACTTTGTATAGGAAAATCCTTAGGGCCTCTCAGCTGAGGCACCCCGACTTCCCGCTGGGCACAAAGAGCATGTCCTGTTCAAAAGCCAATTGCTATAGGCCCAGTGCATGACAGCACAGGCTTCTTTCATTCTACTCCTTTGTTTCCTTCTATCTTTCCAGAGCCTTCCCATCCCTGTATCAACTGTTTCTGTTTTCCATCTAAAGTATCTTGTGGAGAACTAAGCCTCATTCCCATGTCAATAATAATAATAATAATAATAATAATAATAATAATAATAATAATAATAACTTTATGTATACCCCTCCACCATCTCCCCAAGAGACTTGGAGCAGCTTACATAATATCTCAAAGACACTTTCATAATGCTTCTAGAAGTAGGAATTCCCACTTAGGATCCCCTTTGGAGACTCAAAAATATGAAATGGAGGTCCAGACTTAGGATTTATTGTCTGCCTGGTGGTACAGGTTGAGCATCCCTTGTATGGGACCCCATGATCCAAAATGCTCCAAAGGCTCTCATCCACATGGGTGGACAAGAGCCTTTGCTTTCTGATGTTCTGATACTTAGCAATTGAAACGGATCTAGTGTAATCCCACTCACAGAATTGCTGGACACCTCACTGTGGGCTTGTGCATCAATGAAAGCATATAAACCGGCTCTTATGTGAGAGTTTTTAACTGCAAATTGGTTGTTAAAAGCATCACAGTGAGCTACTGAATGTTCTAATAATGGGTTTTGAAATTAGGGTACCTGAGTTAAGTTTCCCGCCACTCTAAATAGCTCATCTGGACATGACTATGCAAAGCATGCAAAATATTATTAAAATTATTGCATATAAAATTCTCTATGTGTATAAGGCAGGGGTACTCAAACTAAGGCCCGGGAGCAGATACAGCCCTCCAAGGTCATTTACCCGGCCCTTGCTCAGGGTCAACCTAAGTCTGAAATGACTTGAAAGCACACAACAACAACAACAACAACAACAATCCTCTCATCAGCCAAAAGCAGGCCCACACTTCCCATTGAAATACTAATAAGTTTATATTAGTTAACATTGCCCTTCATTTTAATTATTGTATTGTGTGTAAGATCTGTGCAGAGTGTATAGGAATTCATTCATTTTTTTTCAATTATAATTCGGCCCTCCAACAGTTTGAGGGACTGTGACCTGGACCTCTGTTTAAAAAGTTTGTGGACCCCTGGTATAAGGTGCATATGGAATACAAATGAATTTTATGTTTATACCTGGGTTCCATCTCCAAGATATCTCATTGAATCATAGAAGTGAAAGAGACCACAAGGGCCACCCAGTTTAATTTCCTGCCATCCAAGGATACACACTTATTGTTGTATCCCAAAGCAGGAACACCTCTGCCCTTAAACTCCACACCAATATAGTAAAATCAGCAAGCAGTTTGTTGGATATATGTAAGCAAATCAGTAAAAATGGTAAAAACAGTATAGTCCAAAACAGTACAATCCAAGAATAAGAAATAGTCCATGAACTTCCTCCTTCTCCTTCCTCTTAATTTATATATCAGCCTCTTTAATCTGAACCCTGATGGGTTATTCCTATGACGAGGAGTTGTTGTGTCAGCTCAGGTCCACTCTCTTTAAAGATTTCAGCAGGGATCCCATCAGGTCCACTGGCTTTGTTATTTTTTAGTTGGCTGGTGGCTTTGCTGACTTCCTTCAAACTAAGCAGTTTTGCTTGTATCAGTTATTAAAATCTAAAAACACACCAAGTCTAACAAGCTGCAGGAACCATTGTCCTTCCAGATGCTTTAGATCAGATTTCTCACATTAACAATAGCCATGGTGAGCAAGGATTATGGGTGTTGTAGACCGAAAACAAGGTTTCAATAATTCCCCACCCTTATCTTAATGTCTGGGCAAGAGTGCTTTGCAAAGTAGATATTTATGTGGGGAAAATGTCTAGATTTCTGCTTCATGGAGACTTCCCTTTCTTCTGTTTTGTCTCCCCTTGAAGGTGACAATGATGTTTGCAAAATGCATGTTTGCCAGTGTGACCGGGCAGCAGCGATGTGCTTTGCGAAGGCACGCTACATCGAAGAGCACAAGAACCTGGACAAGAAGAAATATTGCCAATGAGGACCTTTGTTTGGGGTGGAGGCTACCTTTCCACCTGTGGATTCCCCTCAAAAAGATGTTGGTGCTGCTTTGGATGGGAACTCTTATTTATTTACTCTATTTGTATCCTGCCTTTCTCTACCCTGAAGGGGACTGAAGATGACTTGACCTTCCCATATATCAGGGCCAGTGAAATGAAGCTCACATGAAGCTTTCAACTTTGGTGGGAAGTATGAAAAAGGAGGCAAAATCGACTCTTGATTGCCTTTAAGTCAGGACTGGGAATTGTGAAGATGTATGACAAGATACCAGTATCAGTGCCAAGATACCAAGATTAGTGTACCGATGCTCAAAGGGGCAGATGCACAATGCTCTCAAGCTGCATTGAGGCCCATTTTGCAGTGATCATGTTGATAGCTCCCCCGCATAGTCATGGATGCAGCAAAATAAAGCAAAATACCAAACCCATGGAAAGTCATGCCTCAATGGGCCAAGCAAAATGCACAAAACACATCATGCTGACATTATGGAACTTCTCAGTTCTAAATCCCACAGACATATGTCAACATACGAAGATGTGAGCCCCCAACAGCATGCTGGCCATTATCAATGACAAATGAAATAATTAATAGATCTAATACTCTTTTGTGGCACCCACATTATTATTATTATTATTATTATTATTATTATTATTATTATTATTAGCCATCCCTTGCCAAGCGTTGCTGTGGCCCAGCCTGGTGATCTGGAAAATAAAGTAACGAGAAAGTGTTGGTTTCTAATATATGTAATGTCTTTATGCTTGTGGATAAACAGTATTTCTTGCTGTTTCTTTGTCAGTGTTGATGTGGAGATTGTCTTCCCACTCTGGAATATGCAACATATAATTGTTCTTCTTCAGGGTCCCTTTCAAATCTAGGATACTATATCTCTCTGTGTGTGAATCATATCTATCTATATCTATGGCTGGATGGCTCTTTGTCAGGAAGGCTTTGATTACGTTTTCTTGCCCCGGTGAAGGGAGTTGTTGGACTTGGTGGCCTCAAGTATGGGAGTTCTGTGTAGGAAGTTTGCCCCAATTCTGTCATTTGTGGGGTTCAGCATGCTCTTTGATTGTTGGTGAACTATAAATCCCAGTAAGTACAATTTATTATTTATTTATTTATTTCGAGGTTTTATATACCGACCCTCTCACCTTCAAAGAGGGATTCGGACCGGTTCACAACATGTGTTAACATACAAAGAATATACAATAACAACACAATGCCACTTCATTACACGATTAAAATATCAGCACCATACACATTAAAACATTATCATCCCAGTTAAAAGAGCCAAATCGTCCGACACCATCACAATCCCATTCATCATCCTCCTTTCATGTGGGCAAAGAATTAAATCAGTTGTCAAATGCCGTGTTCCACAACCAGGTCTTTGTTAGTTTCCTGAACGTCATGAGGGAGGGGGCAGTTCTGATCTCTAATGGCAGGGAGTTCCAAAGTCGAGGGGCCACCATCGAGAAGGCCCTGTCCCTCGTCCCCACCAGCCGTGCTTGTGCAGGCGGTGGGACCGAGAGCAGGGCCCCTCCAGACGATCTTAGTGGTCTTGATGGTTTGTAGGGGAGAATACGTTCAGAGAGGTAAACAGGACCGGAGTCGTTTAGGGCTTTATAGGTTAACACCAGCACTTTGAATTGTGCTCGGAAGCTAATCGGCAGCCAGTGGAGACTCCCAAATGCCATGGTCTATTTCCCTCAAAACTCAATCTGTGTTCATATTTGGTCATATGGAATATTTGGCCAAGTTTGGTCCAGATCCATCATTGTTTGAGTCCACAGTGCTCTCTGGATGTAGGTGAACTACAACTCCCAAACTCAATGTCAGTGCCCACCAAACCCTTCTAGTGTTTCTGTTGGTCATGGGAGTCTGTGTGCCAAGTTTGGTTCAATTCCATCATTGGTGGAGTTCAGAATGCTCTTTGATTGTAGGTGAACTATAAATCCCAGCAACTACAACTCCCAAATGACAAAATCAATTTTTTTGAGTGATGGTCACTCCTTGGGTTAGTAGGTGTCTTTGGCCAAATTTGGTGTCAATTCCCCCAGTGGTTTTTGAGTTCTGTTAATCCCACAAGTGAACATTACATTTTTATTTATATAGATTAAAATCTACAACCACCCAAAAATAATATATTTTATTTATATTATGCTCAGAGTGGATTACAGGTAAATATATGGCAAACATTCAATGCTGTGATACAATGGATAGAGACAGACAGTACATAAACAGAGGCAAAGCTTCCCTCTTTTCATCTCTGGCATCCGGCTGTGCTCGACTCGGCCACAGGGAGGTGCTGTTGTTTTGTTTTCCATGCCGAGGAACCTGTCGTTGATGGACTCCTTGTGGATTTCAATGGCTTCTCTGTGTAGCCTGACATGGTAGTTGTGGCATGTCCAGAAGTATGTGGACAATTTCAACGGAAAGGAAGAAACCATGAAAATGAACAAAATCTGGCTACCAGTATTTAAAAAACTCTAATATCGTAATAATAAATAAAGAACAATACTCCAAAGCAGGGGAACTCCAGACAAGAAACAATCAGGAACAGCTAATCACCTCTCAAAGGATTCCATCTATATATATAAATTTGTTAGGGGCATCCAACGGAGAAACAAAACTCAAAAAACCCCCAACGAAACTTAACCAAAATTCCCATGCCCATAACACAACCCACAAGGTACAAACATATCTACTCAAAATGAAAAACAACACAACAACACACTCACAAAACGGCAAAAGAACAAAACTCAAAAAAACCCCAACAAAACTTAACCAAAATTCCCGTGCTCATAACACAACCCACAAGGTACAAACATATCTACTCAAAATGAAAAACAACACAACAACACACTCACAAAACGGCAAAACAACAAAACTCAAAAATCCCCCAACGAAACTTAACCAAAATTCCCATGCCCATAACACAACCCACAAGGTACAAACATATCTACTCAAAATGAAAAACAACACAACACACTCACAAAACGGCAAAACAACTGAGCATGCGCATTGGCGCCCAGCCGCAAGTTCCATCGCGCGCGCACATGGCCTTCCGGCCAACGTTCCCTCTGCGGAAACCATGCCCACTCCAAGCCCCGCCGCGCCGCTTCCCGCACACACACACACCCCTGCCGCACACACACACACACCCCCACGCTCCATCACTCCCCCCGCCGCCGCACACACACACGCAACCCACGCTCCATCACTCCCCCCGCCGCCGCACACACACACGCAACCCCACAAGGAAGGAGGGAAAGAAGGAGAGAAAGAGGGAAGATTGGCCACAGCAACACGTGGCGGGTAAAGGTTGTTATTTCTATTATTATTATGATGTTATTTCTATTATTATTATTATGCTATTGTTCCTATGAGACCCTTTTAGGGGGAATGGGAGAGGTGTCAGGTCCCAGAGGCAATGCATTGCATTATTGTTATTGTTATGATGGTGGTGAAATAAAAGGAAATAAAAAGTGAAAGAAGGAAGCAAACAAGGAGGGAAGAAAGGCAAAGGAAGAAAGGGGGAGGGAATGAAGGAAAGAGAGAAGGATGAAACCAAGTAGTGAAAGAAAGAGAAAAAAGAAAGAGGTAGAGAAGGAAGAAAGGAGAGAAAGGGGGAGGAAAAGGGGGAAGGAATAGGTAGGTACCTCTCTTTCATAATAGTCCAGATATCTACCTCAACTTTGATAAGTTTTGCTATAGGCCACAGCAACGCGTGGCAGGGCACAGCTAGTAGATATATAAACCCCGTTTTCCTAGTTTCCAACAGACCTCACAACCTCTGAGGATGGCTGCTATAGATGCAGGTGAAACGTCAGGAGAGAATGCTTCTGGAACATGGTATGATTTTTCTGGGCTGTCTGGCCATGTTCCAGAAGCATTCTCTCCTGACGTTTTGCCCACATCTATGGCAGGCATCCTCAGAGGTTGAGGGGTCTGGGCGGGTTGGATTTTTGACAGCATGCTTCTTGGCAGGGGGATGGCCCATGAGGTCTCTTCCAACTCTATGATTCTATGTTTATTCAGGGTGGCCTTTATGTCCCTGCCAAAGTGGTACCTATTTATCTACTTTCCTTGTTGTTTTCAAACTGCTAGGTGAGCAGAAGCTGGGCTGACAGCAGGAGCTCACCCCAACCCGGGCTTGAACTGTCAACCTTCCAGTTGGCAGGATCTTGGCAGGATCTTCTATGGCAGGTGGTTTAAGCCTCTGTGCTAGCCCAGAAATCTGCTTAGTAATGGCATTCTATAACATTGAGCCATGGCAGTACACGTGGTATCAAACTGCATTAATTCTATAGAGTAGAAGTACCCCAAGTTCCATATCGTGGAATTGTTGTAGAGCAATTTAGAATAGCTGTGGATTAGGCCCAAGCCATTGTGGGTTGCTTGGTGAGAAAAAAGAAGCCAATATTGCAAAATAAATCTCACCAAGTTGAAGCAGAAGCCACCGAGATGTTTATTTCATTCCAGCTGTAAAGGATGACGATTGCAGTAATTCTGTCAAACAAATGGATATGTCTGCTAGGCAGGTAAATACAGAATATATAGATTTCAGATTCAAAAGTTTCCATGGCCACTCCCTGAGCCAGCTTCGTTGCGATTGGCTGTGACGTTGGCAAGCCAGCAGGATAGCCAATGGTGGTCTGAGCTCTGCTTTGGCCTCTCAGCCAATGGGGTGGAAGGGAGGCAGCAACAGGAAAACAATGAAGAAATGCCCAGTTGACTGGTTTAAATGACTAATGTTTGCAAAATGGCCCAGTGATTGTGTAAGCCCTCAAGCTGCCCAGGGTTTATTGTTTAAATTCCTTGGAATCATCATCTGTAGTCTGGCCTAAATGGCCAGGTCCTTTGTTTTTACAGTCCTGCGATATGGGTTTCATTGATGACACAGAGATTGGTTTTGCCCCAACCTGGACTTGAACTGCCAACCTAACCCTTATTATCCAGTCCGATGCCCTTGTCCTTAGCAAAACTATAAGTTACTATCTTTTATTGGGGGGGGGGGGCTTCATGTTCGACTCCCGAATCATGGGATTGGCAGTTCCTAGTGTATCTCCTAACTACAAATCCCAAGATTCCAGAAGATGCAGCCATGACGGATAAAACAGAACGTTAGTGCTACAATTCTGCAGTGTGGAAGCCTCCTTCGGTGCAACGTTGCAACCAAATCAACGGAGATGAAGATATTCCTTTCCGAAGTTGCGGAGAGACCTGTCCTGCTTTTGCTTCAGCCTTGCTCTTCAAGTCAGCCTCTGCTTCAGCTCAAGCCTATTAAAGGCTTCTGACAGAGTGTAACATCACACATTTGCCACAGACGCAGGTTGTGAGAGACGGATTCAGGGGCAGCAAATGCCTTCAGACAGGTCTGTTCCGCATTTGCATTGCTCAGCCTTCCTCTCGCTTCGGCAC